ACTTAAAACTTATAACACTTGGGTTTGGTGTCATTACTAGCACTTTTTTGGACTTAAAAAATATCTACTTTATTCAGGTATAATTTATGTACACTGAAGTGCAGCCATTTAAAGTATACAACTGGATGAGTTTGGCAGCTGTATACACACACAAAACCACCACCACAATAAAGGTACAGAACATTTCCATCATCTCTGAAAATATTCCTCATGTACCTTTGCGGTCCACACCTCCCTCCACCCTAGACTTCTAGCCCTGGACAACGAATAGCCTGTATTTTTTCACTAGAGATTAGTTTACATTTTCAAGAATTTAATATAAATGGAATTGCATAGTATGTACTCTTTTCCGTATGGCTTCCTTCATCAGCATCATTGAGATTCATCCCTGTTGTTGTGTGTATCAGTAGTTCCTTTTTAAATTGCTCATTAGTAGTCTACTGTATAAATATGCCACAATTTTGTTTTTTCAGCCTTTTTAAGATTAGAAAAGTGAGGCTCAGAGGTATGAAATAACTTGTCGAGAGTATCATTAATGCGTCAGCAGTGTAAGCTGAATTGAACCCATTCTGCCTAATACCACCCTGATTACACCCACACACATGTTCAGCTTCCTCATTTTGTTATTATAAAACAGCTTCTCTTTGAATTTATCAAGACATACTCCCTTACTCAAATACATTCCATGTGCCAAACAGATCCTTCCTCACTTTTCTTTATGAACCTCAACTCCATGATTCATCACTTCATCTACCCTCTTGTCAATATCTTAACAGCCCAAACATTATTATTTTATGAGCCCATCTGTATAGAAAAAGGCCGACATCAATGCTGGTGAAAATCACATAACTGTGCACATTAGTGGCATCTAAATTTTACAGAGATTTGATTCCCTATATGCCTCCTTCAACAAAAGTTTTATGAAGATAAGACTATCTGGTTTTGCTCATATTTTAAAGACCAATTAATGTAAGCTCCATGATGGCAGACACTGCCTATGGTATTTGCTATATTACTAGCACCTAAGACAGTTTCTAGAACATGATACATGCTCAATAAATATCTAATTAATTAATTAATTAATTAAATGCTTAAAATAAAGGGATCAACAGTAATCCAGGGCTTAAAGAGCCTTGCTTTAGAAATTACAATTAAGCAGAGACTTGAGAGATAAGTAGGAGTAAGTTCATGAGAGAAGGTGGAAAGGAAAGTATTAAAGGAAAGCTGAACAGCGCTTCTATGATCCTTCCTTTACACCTTACACAGAATTGTTCTGAATATTCTTTCTACTCAAAGGTCTTCCATTCTCTCCAGCCCACTGTCACTCCTATGAACCCACTCAGATTCAGTCTCTACTTTGCAACCATACTGATATGCCCAAAATGCACTTTTGCTGTTGAAGTAAGCAAGATGGTGATATAGGAGGTCCTTATATCTAGATCTAGTTCTCACAGAAATACAAATTAGTAACAATGCACAGAAAAAAAAATTTTTTTTAAATCTCAGAAGATGGAGTGAGGCATAGAGTATAAAAACCAAGAAAATCTTTATTAAAAGGGTAAGAGGGGCAGGTTCACTTTGACTACAACTCCCACCCTCCCAGGCCAGGATGGCACCATACCAAGAGTGATCCCCTGGGCCTACAATTTCTCCAGCGGAGAAAAAAGAACCCAAGGAAGACATTCAGTTTTCCCAGCATTTCTTGAACACTCTTTGTAAGCCCACTTCTGTCTTGGAGAACCCTGGGGTAATTGACAAACGTAGACCACATGAAGGCAACTGGAACAAAAAAGGAAGCAGGTCTCGCAGTAATCGGTGAGTGGATCTTGGCAATGGAGCACATCACAGCTAGTAACCTTGCCCAGAGAGGCCAGTCAGTGGCTCCTCCCACCTGTGAAAACAAATCAGCAGTCCCTTTGGCCAGGAGCACAGTTAGCGTGAAAAATGCAAATGCATATTACTAAGTGGAAGAAGCCAATCTCAAAAAGACACAAACTGTATGATTACAACTTTATGACATTCGTTAAAAGGAAAAACTATGGAGACAATAGCGTTGTCAGGGATTGGAGTAGAGGGATGGATTAATAGGTGGAACACAGCGGATATTTCTATGATATCATAATGATGAATCCATATCATCATTATGTCACAATACATTTGTCTAAACATAGAAAGTACAACACCAAGAATGAACCATAATATAAACTATTAACTTGGGTGATTATAATATGTCATACATTCATCAACTGTAGCAAGAGAACTGCTTTGGTGGAGTATGTCAATAATAGAGAAACTACACCTATGTAGGACTAGGGAATTCAGTAGACATTTTCAACATCAGACTTGATGAAGCAGAGGAAAGAATTAGCAAACTCAAAGGCATGTAATTTAAATTTACCCAGACAAAAGAACGAAAAATTTTTTAAAAGAATAGAGAAGAATGAAGAAAACCTATGATACTTATGAGACACCATCAAATGACATAATGTATGCTACTTTTATTCAAAATAATATTGGAAGTCCTAGCCAGAGAATTAAGCAAGGAAAAGAAATAAAAGCATCCATATCAGAAAGGAAGAAGTAAAACAGTCACTATTTACAAGTGACATGATAATACATAGAGAAAACCCCAAAGACTCCATCAAAAAACTGATAGAATTAATAAACAAATTTAGTAAAGTTGCAGGTTACAAAATTAATATACCAAAATCAGTAATGAACTATCAGAAAGACAAATTAAGAAAACAACTCCATTTTAAATTGCATCAAAAAGAATAAAATACTCAGGAGTTAATTTAATCAAAAAAATAACCTATACATTCATAACCTATACTGAGACACTGATGAAAGAAATTGAAGAAGACACAAATAAATGAAAAAAATATTCTGTGCTCTGAGATTGGAAGAATTAGTGTTATTAAAATGTCCATACTATAGATTCAGTGCAAAGCCTATCAAAATTCCAATGGCTTTTTGCACAGATATAGAAAAGAGATTCCTAAAACTTATATATAACCACAAAAAAACCTGAATAGCCAAAGCAATCCTGACAAAGGACAAAGCTGAGGCTTCATGTTCCCTGATTTCAAACTATATTACAAAGCTATAGTAAACAAAACAGTATGGTACAAGTATAAGAACAGACACATAGATTAATAGAATAAAGAGCCCAAAAATAAACCCATGCATATATGGTTAATTAATTTAAGACCAAAAAGCGAAGAATATACAATGGGGAAATGAAAGTCTTTTCGATAAATGATGTTGGAAAACCTGGATAGCCACATGTAAAAGAATAAAACTGAACCACTATCTTACAGTGAACACAAAAATTAACTCAAAATGGATTAAATACTTACACATAGAACTTGAAACCATAAAACTCCTAGAAAAAACATAAGTAGAAAGCTTCTCAACATTGATCTTGGCAATAATTTTTTGGATTTGACAACAAAAGCAAAGGCAACAAAAATAAACAAGTGGGACTACCTAAAACCAAAAAGCTTCTACACTGCAGAGAAAACCATCAACAAAATGAAAAGGCAATCTACCAATTGGGAGAAAATATTTGCAAATCATTAATCTAATAAGAGGTTAATATTCAAAATATATAAAGAACTCATACAACTCAATAGCGAAAGAAAAATCTAATTTAGAAATGGACAGAAGATCTAAATAGACATTTTTTCAAAGATATACACCTGTTAAAATGGCTATAATCAAAAAGACAAGAAATATTCAGCGTTGGTGATGTGTGGAGAAAAGGGAACCCTTGTGCACTGCTGGTGGGAATGCTATTGGTGCAGCTACTATGGAAAATGGTACAAAGTTTCCTCAAAAAATTACGGATAAAACTACCATATGATCCAGAAATTTCACTTCTGGGTATTTTTCTGAAGGAAACAAAGACATTCTCAAAAAGATATATGCACCTTCATGTTCATTGCACCATTATTTAAAATAGCCAGATATCAAAGCAACCTAAATGTCCACTGATGAATGAACAAATAAAGAAAATATGAAATATATATTGGAATATTATTTGGCCATAAAAAAAAAATGTGCCATTTGCAACAACATGGATGGACCTTAAGAGCATTATGCTAGTGAAAAAAGTCAAACAGAGAAAGACAAATACCATATAATCTCACTTATATGTCCACCTTAAAACAAAACAAAACCAAAAAAACTCATAGAGAGAACAGATTGATGGTTGCCAGAGGTGGATGGCAAAATGGATGAAGGTGATCAAAATGTACAAACATCCAGTTATAAGCCCTGGGGATGTAACGTACAGCAGAGTGACTATAGTTGATAATATTGTACTATATATATGAAAGTTCCTAAGAGAGTAAATCTTAAAAGTTCTCATCACAAGGAAAAACAATTGCAACTATAAGTGGTGATGGATGTTAACTAGACATTGTGATCATTTCACAATATATACAAATATCAAATCACCATTTGCATACTTGAAACTAAAAATGTTACGTCTCAATAAAAAAGAAAAAGTTATGCCAAGAGATGCCTTTCACAAACTCACTCAACAAGCATATACTGAGTTCTTATGTTGACCCAGTACCTATGCTGGCCTTTGGAGACATCAGCACAAAAAAGACAGTTTCTATGCTCCAGGAATCCATGGTTATAGCAATTTCTGCTCTTCTGGTTCTCACACGCTGAATGTCTTAGGCATAATTAGCTGACAAATAATGAAGAAAATACATTACTCTTGCCCTGCTCAAACTTTAATGAGATGCAAAGGACTCGCACTTCTTCGTTTCTTATATGTCTTGTATTTCCCCAGGATCAAGAGCAGGAAATGTGTTGGATAAAAGTGTTTGGGAAAAAATTGTTCTCAAATAGAATCAGAGGAAACACACTGCTGTGAGCTTTGGATATACTTCACTGATCATGGCCTAAGGCCGCGAAGAGGCCAATAAAGCCTGGAGTTCAAAAATGCCAACCCAGATCCAAGCCTTCCTCTCTGGCACCCAGAAATGAAACTCCTTTATCCAATCTTTGACAGCTTCACGCCAGTTCCAGGTGAACACAGGTAATGTGGAATCCTGGGTTTAAGAGAGGTCAGTGTAAAGAAGCAAGGACTTGGCTGTCCATGACAATGGGAACCCAAAGAGATGCTGAAAGATGAGTTGCCTAAAGAGATGGCTGAAGACTCTACCTGTTGCATCAGTCATGCATCATCCCCCATACATCCCCATAGGCCCTAACTCCAGACTGTCTAATGGAGACATACCGAGAGCTCACTACAGCAAAAGCAAGGTGCTTTTTGTGTGTGCGCTCAGAAACTACCCAACATACAAAGCTGCTTTCCAACCCTCTACATAGCTATCATCTGGGACTCAGTCCAAGTCTCCCTCATTTTTGCTCTATTTCTAATTTAAACTATCTCGTCTCCCTCATTTTTGCTCTATTTCTAATTTAAACTATCTCTTGAAGCAAAGGTTCCTGTCAGTTTGTACTTGGGTGTAATAAGGAGGAAGTCTTTACCCTTGTGCCTCCCAAAATTTCTTTTTAGGATCCAGTAAACAGATCTGCGTTCTCTATCTCAAACTTTTTCAGATTTTTACAGAGTTTCATCCTTTCTATTAGCCTTTGTTGTCTTGGAAACCCCTAAATGATCCATAAGAGCATCTAGGAATACATTGTAGCAAAAAGCTGAACCAGAGGCATGGCCATCATTTCTTGAAAAGAAGAGAGAAGCATTGAGACTTGTTTCAGAATATAAGTGGTTACCAGAGGGAAATGGGGGAGGGGAGATAGATAAGGGTAAAGGGGGTCAAATATACGGTGACAGAAGAAAATTTAACTTTGGATGGTGAACACACAATGGAATATACATATAATATATTCTTTAATTGTATACTTAAAATCTATATAATTTTATTAACCAATGTCACCCTAATAAATTTAACTTAAAAAAATTGTTTTAAATAATCATCAACTGTATTATATTGCATAAAGTCACTAAGCCACCTTGAGCCTCAAATTCCACGTGACTGTAATAGAGTTAATCAATGTTGCTGCTTAAAAAAAGGGGAATTTTACTGTTTTGTCTTTGGTGAGAAACAATATTGCAATGTATGTGACCATGAGATGCTGCATAAATTTCCTGTTATTTTTAGAAAATCAGTCAAATTGTTAAGATGAGTAAGAGAGAACTTTTTTAATTCAGAAAAAAAGGTGAGTCACTGGAATAGAAAAATCACCCAGATGATGAAGATGAGGTACTAAACTGACGGGAGAAATCAGAGATATAGATGACAGCGTGGAAATTCTCTTGATAGAGATGAAGTTAAGGCTATGATAATGAATAAGACCACTAAGGGACAGAGTGTCCAGAGAGGCTGAGAAGCATAGAACACCATGCTCCAGGAACCACAGGTCAGGCGATTATTGAAGAGGGTGAGGTTATAGACCACTGGGTTCGGAAAGAAGCCAGCACTCCTGAAAGTTTTATTGAGTCTCTTGAAATTCTTTCTTGGATTTGTTTTATGGCAGATATTATTCTCACTGGTACTTCCTAGAATCATCAGGAGAGAGCGCAATGCCCTACAAGTGTCTAAGATGATAAGTTGGAGGTAGAAAATCCTATCTGCAAGCTAATAATTGGGTTCCCTTTTCTCCTTTCCTCTGTGTGCCCTAGATTTTTTAAGTTACTCAATGAAGGGAGACTAGAGAGAATTATTCTGAATTTCAGAGGTGTACAGAAATTTTCTTGGCCTGCCAGGTGCCTCCATCAACACCCTTAAACCCTGTACTTAAAATTTAGTATTAACGAAGTTTCTCTTACTCTATTTCTCTCCCTCTAGCAGTTTTAAGATCATATCTAGTTATTAACCTTAGCCTAGTGGTTTTCTATTTCTTTTGTGCAGAATTCTTTGGCTTGAGAAGATGTTTGATGGATATGGGGAGATGCAAAGACCACTGCACTGTGGGTGAAAAAGAGGTACAGAAATGCAAGAATAAACAATGTTGTGCTGGGCCCAAAATGGTTCAATTGATAAATAACTACCTGCAAAATGAAATGTCTCACACTTGAAGAAGACTCCCAACAACTACTAAAAACTACCAAGAAGTCTAGGGCTGTAATACAAACAAAATACATTTTATCTCATCTCAAAAAAAAGCAAAAGCCATTTTGCTAACATCAACACCATCATCATCTCAAATGCCAACACTGTGAACTCTGCTACCACCAAACCTATGATCACAGGGAAGATTATATACCCTGCTACTTCTACCAAGAGTGACACCAAAGAAAAAGCAGAGATTCAGCCACCGACTCTCTACCGTCAGTACCACCACCATAGACACTGCCGACAACACAAATGGAGCTGGAGGAAAGAGATGAGCAGAGATGTGGGTCTTTCTCTTAAAACACTAAGTTCCTCTTTGACTTTGTTATCTAATTAAATGAGACATAAAACTGTTTCCTCGGTCGTGAGTCATTCAATAAGTACTGTTTAAGCACCTACAGTTTACATAATGTTCTCACAGGAGCCTCACAGAGGAGATAGAGCTGGAAAGGGATGGAATTTTAGTTTACTTGCCCAGGAGAAAGCAAGCACCAGGAATGATGACTACAACATTGAATTGGGCCCACGGATGATCCAGATTAGGTCTCTGTAACAAGAATTTACGGTTGTCATATGGTGGTCTTTTCTTGGAGCAACAGGAAGAAAAATATCAGAAGATATGTTTTCTTTTTTCCTAGATTTGGGGGGAAAGGCCCATATGCAAAATAGAGTATGTGGAGACCAAGTCTACCTTCTCCACAGAAGAACATAAGCTAATTCATGGAGCCATTTAAGATAAGAATATGGGGGAATAGAGGAGGGGAAGGGGGAAAAGTATAATAGAGAGGTGCTTCCAATAGATAAAGAATGCAGACTACAAATGCAAACCATGTAGATAATTTTGAACTTTCTAGTAGCCACATTTTAAAAAGAAAAAGAAATAGGTGAAATGAATATTAATAATACATTTATTTAATGTGGTAAATTCAAAACATTATCATTTCAATGTGTAATCAATATAAAAATTATTTGGGACATTTTGTATTCTTTTTTTTGCACTAAGACTTGGAAATCTCATATGTATGTTATAAATTACAAACAGTTCTATAATTTCCATTCATACTAGCCACATTTCAAGTGCTCAGTAGCCCCATGTGGCTAGTGGCTAGCATATTGGATAGCACCAGGTTAGAGAGTTCTGAGGGCACAGGTAGCTATAGGACTATTAGACAAATGGAATGATGCTAATATAAAGAAGACAGCCGTATTTTTGAGGGCTGTATAGAATTAAGAATATAGAAATTCAGGTCTGACGCTTCTGGGCTAGCATTCTGGTTCTGGCACTTTTTATCTGTGTGGTCTTGAACATATCACTCATCCATATATGAGCATCCATTTATTCATTCATAAACGGAAATGTAAACATTTTATTATAGTCCAGAATTTACTTCTTTATATTTCAGGTCACACTTCCTTTTATTGGCTAAATTACAATGGCACAGACCCCTATTCTAGTTTTTTAACATATTCCTCTCTGCTACATATCACCTCCATCAATTTAAAGACCATCTTTCCTTAACCTACTGGTTCTTTACTACAGTGTCACCCTAAGGAAGGCAAAGATTTTCCCAGTGACACTAGAGTACAACTTTTTAAATTATGTTCCTGGAAGTTTTAGTACAAAAGATAAGAGTTGCTGCACAAAGAATAACTTCAATTCCTACTATATATGTGTTCCCTAAAGAATCCCAGGTACATCTTATGGATAGTAGATTCTCTTCCTGCCACAGCTATTTGCCAAACTCTTAAAGGTCCAGCTTACCTTCCCACAGTTGGAGTGCTCTTTTTATTGTTTATGCACAGGGAGAAGAGAAAGTGTCTTTCTCACCTAAGTTTAAGGCCTTCTTTTGAATCTTCATTTCCTATCTTAGAACTCATTCGTCTCATTCATCTCTTCTCAGGATGAATGAAACTGAAGAATATCCTTTTAGTTTAAAGAATATCCTTTTAGTTTCACATCCACTATAACAAATATGGTAATTCTCTGATATATGTTCTCCTCTTTCACTACAGTAATAGAACTCTTCTAATGTCAGCTTGGCCCAAATCCTGCAGAGTAAAGGCTACATTTGTTTCCCAGATAGAACTGGCCATACTTCAATGCAGAGAGACCACAATTGGCCAACTTTGCAATTATGCATTAATATAACTTGGTGAAAACATCAGATTTTTCATTTTAAAGGCAGAGAAGGACCTTTGTCTAAGCCTTGGGAGCCCCACAGAGACTACAAGCTCTCCCTTGGGATTCACCCTAGCACATCCTAGTGCAGTTTCCAGACTCTGCCACTCAGTGAGGTTAAGGTTCACCATGGCACATACAGTGCTGCTCCAAAACCCTACTGGTCAGAAGCTGCATGACACTGAATTTTTTAACTTCTTAGAACCAATATTCAAACCCAGACTAATCAAATTAGATACCTATGAACATTCCACCAACCAGCACTGTTTCTGTATTGCACATCACAATGAATCATCCATGAATAAATAAATGTATAAACAAGCAAACAAACAAACTGTTACCCTATGTATGACGCTGAATCCTTCCTACTTTTGCCAGGTAGCAGATTAATCCCATACATAATGATGATGTTGCTGCTTATATGGCAGAGCAGAAAAGAGGGCAGAGCTGGTGAAAAGAGGTTTGAAGGAGAATCCTAACTTATGAGAAGACCTTCCCTTTACTATCCACATTACTTATAATGGCCCAATTTCCAGTTCAGAACTACTCTGAAAATATTATTTGTGAACATGAATTGTCACATAAAAATTGTAAAGTTTGAGACGTATAAGTATGTATAAATTAAGTTGGCTTGTAAATAACCTAAGATGACACGAAGAAGAGCACTAAATAAAACTATAGATTAAAAGATGGGAGCCGGAGATAATGTCCAGAAAAAATGTTAATTTTAATAAAGAAAAAGCCATCTGTCAATAGATGAGTCTCAGAAAGAAGAATAGAGTATGGAGGGTCCTGGAGGATAAAGGAGGTACTGGCACGCTTGTCTAGGCTCTAGCCTCTAGCCAACTGAGTGAGCAAGAAACAGCATCATTGATGGCTTCCCTGTTCTCTACTCATCTATTCAGAGAGCCAGAGACTGTTCTGGCCTGTCCTGCTCCTGTGGAAGATAAGGGTTGTCTACTTCCTTTGACAACAAATTAAATGAACCATGGGTAATATTATGGGCTGAATTGTGTCCCTCAAAAAAATTCATAATTGAAGCCCTCACCCTCTATGTGGCTATATTTGGAGATAGGCCTTGAAAGGAGTAATTAAAGTTAAATGAGGTTAATGGGTGGGCCCTAACCCTTGTTACTGGTGTCTTTGTAAAAAGAAGAAGTATCAGGGGTGTATGTGCATGAAATAAAGACTGTGTGAGGACACAGAGAAGACAGCCATCTACAAGCCAAGGAAGAGGCCCTAGGAGAAACCAAACCTGCCTACACCTTGATCTTAAACTTCCAGCCCCCAGAACTGTGAGAAAATACATTTTTGTTGTTTATGCCACCGATCTGTGATATTTTGTTATAGCAGCCCCAGCATATTAATACAGGCCATAAAAGAGATGATATCCTTTTCCTCCCTCTTTCTGAGCTGCAGGTAAAAAGAGGAAAGAACAATAGACGCTTCCTAAAACACCCTGAGCCTCTGCCTTTGTTCTGGGTTTATCAATCACTGGCCCTGGGAAAAGATGAGCAAACAGTAGGATTTTTATACTCAAATCTAAGATATCAGTTTATATGATGTCATGGTCAGCCTTCACTATATATTGTTAATCGTGAGAATAAAACCTACAGATGCAGAGTGGAAGGCAGCAAGCACAGAATAACTTTTAATTGTTGTCAAATAATTTGAATATTTGCACACAAACTAAGTTTGAATTTACTAATAAATACAAAAACTGCTATTTTCAGGGGAAAAGAAAAAAGAGTACATTTGCGCTCAGCGTACTGTGCATACACTTTGCAAGTGACAGCATCATGAATCAAACTTCTACTTCCAGATTATGAGTTGACTAGATCACAGCAGTTATTATTGTTGATGGGACAGCTGCAATTGATTATCTATCTTACAAAAGATTTAATGTTAAAGGTGATCACTATTGCACACTTACTATAAGCCAGCACTGTGAAAAATCATTTACATAGATCATCTTATTTAATCCTTAAACAATCCTATTATGAAGGCACGATTACCTCCATGTGACAGGTGACGAAACTGAGGCTTGAAGGAGTTGAGTTGCCTAAAATCACAAAGCCAGAGAGTAGTAGAGCTAAAGCTCTTATTTAGGCTATCTGACCCCTGAGTAAACCTATTAACCCTTTGCACAAGACTTATTCCCTCAGCAGCAGGGAGAGAGAGAGAAAGACACAGAAGAGAAACATCCTTTTTCTCCCAGGACTCCCAACTTGGCAGGGATGAGGAGGAGAAACCATTTCCTTCATGAATTTCTCAAAGTCTCATCCCAGTCTATTAGCTCAGAAACCCAATTCTGTCATTACACTAAGAGTGACTCTATTTCATGAGAAATAAATATGCATCAGCCATCAGCTTCCTCTTTTATAAATTACAGAGACCAAAGTATTCAAATCCCAAATAATTAACAAATTCTTTCCTTGTAGCCAAGACTATCCAGAAAGACAGACATAATTAGAAGTGTGTTGAGTCAGGACAATGGAAATTAATTTAATTAGTTAAGAGCTTAGTATAGCCCTATGGATCCACTAGAATGTCAGCTCCTGGAGGGTAGATATATATTTTGTGCCTAGTAAGAGCCTAGTAGTAGGCGATCAACAAACATGTGGTGAATTAATGAATGAAAGAACATATATTATAATAAGATTGTCTTGCCAATAAGACTGGAAATACTTAAAATTCTATGTCAATCTCCCCCTGATTTAAAACGGTCTTTAGGAATGCTATGTCCCACATTAGCCTCTGGGGCTCTCATTTGTCCACACTTCCTCTGCAGACCTTACCCTTCTGTTGGTGCGATCTGCTTTTCATGTTCTTTCTTTAGCTAGATGAGTTACCCCTGTGGTCTTCACTCTGCTTTCTCTTCCTGCTACCTCATAAGAAAGGATTCCTGATTTTCATTCTCTGGTTACAGCGCCACTTTCTAACATTACTGTTCTTGCCCCTATCATGGCCTTGACATCATTCCTCCTGCTGAGGTGCCAGCTTCTCAAACACACAACCCCCGTGGAGTCGGATTGACATACGTGTAAATTTTACCTCTGCTGCTGACTCAGTGTAGGACCTCTGCTTAGAATTCCCATTGCCTACACTTCTTAACATACAA